CCCCCCCCCCGTGCTCTGTGTTGAGTGTGAGGTAAAGATGAGTGGACTCTGCCCACTCTTCCTCTCACTCACCGCTCTGTGCTGCCAAGCGCTCGTCTCCAGAACAGACTGTAAACACCAGAGCTCTGACAGACTGTCCAAACGTTTAGCCAGCGTTCACCATGTGTCCAAGAGATTTGCACGTAATCACTCAAATTAAAAAGTGTGGATCTCACCTTTCCATGAACCCAAGGAAAAGTCAATTAGATGTAGCAGCAGTGCACTTTAAAGTTCCATCAAACTTAACGTCCAGCATCACTCGCCTGTCTCCTCCAGAGATGTCCCACACGCAGGGCGAACGACCGGCCGTTTCCCTGGAAGTCAGGAGTCCGATCCAGTCAGACGAAGAGTATCTGAGCCCCCAGGAGGAGGCCATGGAGGTCAGGGACTCGAATGCACTAAGTGTCTGCTTCAAGGAGCGTCCTTCGTTTCAGGTAAGAGTTTCTCAGAGGTGAAATCTACGCCCGACACAAAGGGAACGGACACTTTCTAGGTCATCCCAGTAAGTTGGCTTGTTTTTAAGGTGGCACCATGTGACCAGGGGGTAACTGAGGGGCAAGACGTCATCATCTCAGCGAAGGTCAGAGGGCAGCCTCGACCCATGGTTTACTGGTATGACTCCTTCTCTCAAAGATTTATTTCAACATGATGTCTCAGGAGACAACTGAAGCACCTCTGTCTCTCACACACACACACACAGCCTTCTATTAAACGACTGTGACAGCAGCTTTCTATTAACCCAGGCTGAAGGACAAAGTTGCGGTAAAGACGGGCGGACGCTTTGCCGTTCGAGAGACAGAAGACGGCACCAGGGAAATGAGAATCAGCTCCGCTCAGAGGTCGGATGCGGGGCTGTACGTCTGCAAGATCATCAACGAATACGGAAGCAAGCAGGTGGAGTGCAGAGTGGAGGTGGCAGGTGCGTAACGAAGATGTGGTTTGATCACGACGCAGCAAATGTGTTGTTGTCAGTTTCTTTATTTGTTTTTTGTTCCGCAGCTGCGGCACAGACATCACTGGGAATCACCCGGGGGTTGAAAGACGTGGCGGCGAGGGCGGGAGAGTCGGCCATGTTCGAGTGTCACGTGACAGGGCCTCTGGATGTGGATGTGGACTGGCTGTCCAACGGGAAGCTGATCCAGCCGGCGCTGCTCAACTGCAAGATGCACTTTGATGGAAAGAGGTGCGTCGGGAACTCCTTCACTGTCAGCGAGACACTTTTTTATCACCGTTGGACATTTTTAACGGTTGTTTCTCTGTCAGGTGTCGTCTGCTGCTGAATTCAGTGCACGAGGACGACAGTGGGACATACACCTGCAAGCTGAGCACCGCCAGAGGTGAAGTACGAACGCTGCTTGTTGTCCCTGTGGTTTCTGAGAAGATGGAAAATTTAACTTTGACACATGGAATGTTCACAGAGGAGTTGACCTCGAGCGCGAACCTGAAGGTGACTCCGTCCAACGAGCCTCTGTTCACCCGTAAACTGGACGTCCTGGAGGTCATCGAAGGACGTACGGCCCGGTTCGACTGTAAGGTGAGCGGATCGCCTGCTCCACGAGTCACATGGACGCACTTCGGTAAGAACCTCGTCTGTCTGATAGTTGCAGAGTCCAGTTTTCTACATACGTGTAACTAACAATTGAATCAACTGTCTTTCAGAGACGCGAGTGGAGGAGAGCGATAACGTTCACATCCTGCAGGAGAGCGGTCGCCACTCGCTCGTCATCACCCACGTCAGCGGCGACACCGAGGGCTTCTACACAGCGAACGCTCAAAACATCCACGGGAAGGCTGAGTGCACTGCTGAGCTCTACATGCAGGAGCCGCGAGCTGCCATCTCCTCTCACATGTAAGAGACGTTAACGTCATTTCAACGTTTCCCGGGACAGAAGTCACGTGATCGTCGTCAGTTTGTTTCACATCCGTCTCTCCGTCTTCCCTCCAGGGCCAAGTTGGAGAAGATGCCGTCCATCCCCGAGGAGCCTGAAGGGGTGGAGACCGAGGTGGAGAAGAGGACGATGCCGGACTTTGTCAAACCTCTGGCTGACATGGAGGTGGTGGAAGGAAAGGAGGTGGTGCTGAGGTGCACGGTGGCCGGCCTGCCCTACCCCACCATCGCCTGGTACCACAACAGCAAACGCATCGAGGGCAGCGAGGAACGCAAAATGACCCAGTGTGAGTAAATAACGAGCAAAGATCAGCTGTCATTCTGGGGGGGGGGGGGGGGGGGGGGGGTGGAGATCGGAAATAAGAAATGTGGGCGTCTGTTCTTCAGACAGGGATGTCCACAATCTGGTCATTCGGAGCGCTTGTCACGCTCATGGCGGTGTCTACAAGGCCGTCATCTCCAACCGAGTGGGCAAAGCCGCGTGCTACGCACATCTCTACATCTCAGGTAACACCTCAGGTTTGACTCTGCTGTGACTCACATGAAATACGATAGAACATATTGATCGATTCATTTTCAAACAGACGTCGTCCCCGATCCTCCCGACGGTCCTCCAGTGGTGGAGGCCGTCACAGGGAAGAATATTAGCTTGAGCTGGAAGAGACCGAAGAGGCTCGACTCTTCATTCGGTAAGAAAGTTTCAGGAACGTCAACGCATGATTATTTCCTCTGGTTTCATGACGAGGCTTTTGGAATTCCACGTAATGCAATATTTAATATACGACTAAAATCCGCCTCTGTCTTCATCTTCATCGTCTCACGGTGTCATCGTCCAGGGTGAGTCACTAAACAGTGCATGTGTCTGCAGATACCAGCTCTCTGCTGTACGTGGTCCAGCAGCAGCCTCTGGGCTCTATCCAGTGGTCTGTCGTGGCCTCTAACCTGCGGGAGACCAACTACACCGTCACCTCCCTGTCAAAGGGGGTGCGCTACGCTTTCAGAGTTCTGACGTCCACCGGCAAGACGCTGAGCAAACCGTCCCCGTCCACTGACCTGGTCCAGCTGCTGGACAGAGGTACTGCACGTGTTGTCCACCAAGAAGATAATATGAATGCACACTTTTAACTTTTCTAATCTGTGCAGGACCTTATCTGAGGAAGGCGCCCGTCATCCTGGACAAACCGGACGTCGTGTATGTCGTCGAGCACCAACCAGCGAGCGTCACCATCACGCTCAACCATGTGCACGCAGTCGTCACCTGGAAGAAGTGAGTTCTTCTGTTCCTCAAACGACAGGTTGAGGAAATGAGTCGGAGCTTTGGGTGAAAAAGCTTCAGGTCTTGATTGATGATCTGTAACTGTGATGGATTCTGCCGCTGTGTTCCTCAGGAGGGGGGTGGTGCTGGTCAACAGGCCGGGGGTGTACGAGATGAGCATGCCGGACGACGATCAGCACGCCCTGAAGCTCCAGAGGGTCAGGAGCACAGACGTCGGCCAGCTGGTGGTCACGGCCAGCAACCAGTTTGGCAGTGACCTCTGCACGCTTCAGCTGGCTATGGCGGGTCAGTTGAGCTCAGGCAGAGAAACGTATGATGAATTGTTGAGCCGCAGAGTTTTGCTGTGACATCATCATCCTCACGGAGCTCCTACGTTAGCTGAACTTCAAATATTCAAGATGTGTTGCGGTTACATCAACTATGAATTGAGTCTTACTTCAATCTAAAAACATGAACTCTGCTGAACGTTCAGTTTCCTGTATTTCTTCTGTAGTGTCTCCTAAGTTTGAAACCATCATGGAGGACGTGGACGTGCACGTTGGGGAGACGTCCCGCTTGGCTGTCGTGGTTGAAGGGAAGCCAGACCCAGATATTCTGTGGTATAAGGTAGAAGGTTATATCTTTCATTTCAAAAACAATGATTGTTTTAAATTCATTTTACAGTGTGACAGTGTGAAATCTAAATCCATTGTTCTGTGGCAGGACGACGTGCTTCTCTCTGAGAGCAGCCACTTCACATTCGTGTACGACGACCCGGAATATTCCCTCGTTGTTCTGAACGCCCGCCCCGATCACTCTGGCGTGTACACGTGCACCGCCAAGAACCTGGCCGCCTCCAACTCCTGCAAGGCTGAACTCACAGTTCACACAGGTCTGACATCAACACCAACACTCAAACACACAGTGACGGTCAACGGAAAGTAAAAGAGCTCTTTGAAACTTCAAAATTAGAGAAAAGTTCACATCACCACAAATAAAAGACGATTCTCTCCTTTTGGTTTCCATCGTATCAAACTGCTGACGCAGATCACAGTCGTAGAAACTAGTACCTGCTGACAATTGCTCCTCTGAATCTGCACCATATGGGCGGGACCACGAGGTGTTGTTAGGCTACAAGATGCAGCCATCTGTCACTATGCTGGCACACGTGCACGGCCAAACACACACACACACACACACACA